TGCACTGGCAACAATCTTGTCGCAGCCCACCTGCATCTTTTGGCCAACTTCAGCATCGTTCGGAAAATCCTGACCAATTTCAGTTTGAATTGTGGATAATTTTTGGACATCAAAGCCCACTAAACTTCTCCTGTGGAACCCGTGAGAGCATAGCACATCCATGTTCCTTCTCATAGCCCAAGTCCTATCACTGGATTCACGCAGAAAAGAGTGGAAAGGAAGTAGAGAGCCAATGGCAAAAGCGAGAGACGAACCTGACAATTCAAGCCGGCAACAGCAGAACAGGCCAAACACAATGGGGTTTCCCTGTCATGAAACATATGGAGCCGATCTGGCACCGCCAAGTGCGAACCCATGTCCTCCAACAGCTGAGTCTGCATGTCAATGATGAGCTCGTTTGGAACCTGGTAAGATCAGCAAAGTCTTCACAACAAGGCGTTGAAAAGTCTCAACATCCGAATGCATAAGCACACTTTTGTGGAGTCCTGCCAAAGTCAAATGCAATGAGCTTCAGTGGTATCCCCAACAGCCGCAACGATTAATGTTTACAAATCTTTCTGACGCGTGCTGCGAAGCCAAGCGCTGGAAACACCTGTTGAACCTGACCTGGCTCTACACCAAAGCCTGCCAGACCTTCTCCGGAACCTTCTCCGGAACCCTGTTGAACCTGACCTGGCTCTGCACCAAAAGCCTCCCAGACCTTCTCCGGAACCTTCTCCAGAACCCTGTTGAACTTGACCTGGCTCTGCACCAAAGCCTCCCGGACCTTCTCCAGAAGCTTCTTGGAACCCTGACCTTCTCCAGGACCTTCTCCGGAACCCTGTTGAACCTGACCTGGCTCTGCACCAAAGCCTCCCAGACCTTCACCGGAACCTTCTCCGGAACCCTGTTGGAACCTTCTCGGGAACCCTATTGAACCTGACCTGGCTCTGCACCAAAGCCTCCCCGACCTTCTCCGGAACCTTCTCCGCACTTGCCTTTCCACCAAGGCTTCCTGGAACCTTCTCCGGAACCGTCTCCGGAACCCTGTTGACCCCTGTTGAACCTGACCTGGCTCTGCACCAAAGCCTCCCAGACCTTCTCCGGAACCTTCTCCGGAACCTTCTCCGGAACCTTCATCCAAACCCTGTTGAACCTGACCTGGCTCTGCACCAAAGACTCCCAGACCTTCACCGGAACCTTCTCTAAAACCCTGTTGAACCTGACCTGGCTCTGCACCAAAGCCTCCCAGACCTTCTCCAGAACCTTCACGGGAACCCTGTTGAACCTGACCTGGTTCTGCACCAAAGCCTCCCAGACCTTCACCGGAACCTTCGGAACCTTCTCCGAAACTTCGTTGAACCTGACCCGGCGCCTGCACCAATGCAGACCGGAGCTATTCTGGGCTGAAGACCCCATTAGCTTACGCTGTTGGGGAAAACACAAACACAGGAAGGTGGTGATGCTGATGCTGATGCTGATGAGGAGAAGGAGGATGAGGAGGATGACGGTATATGACGATGACGATGACCGCAAGCATCTCTGAATGCTGTCATGCTCTTCTTGTCGACCCCTAAAGGTGGATCAGCATGCCGGCCATTTCGATTGATTTTGGTAGCAGCAACCGCATCGCCTCTACAACTGTTAGCTTTCTGCGTCTTCGGAATATGGCAGCATTCCAACTTCTCAGAGAGATTTTCAGTTTACTGTTTATTCGCCTCTGGTCATATTTTCTCGTGACGTTTTGATTGTGAAATTGAATCTGTCTGGCTACAGATTTGGACGAGTCTTGTTTGATTTTTTTGGTGTAGATTTCTTGCAAGGCGGCTTGATTGAAAGTTTCCATCAGGGTGCAGCTGCTCGGATGGCAGAAGATGGAATTGACTGTCGGAACAAATATCTCATGAGTTCGTGTGAAAGGAGATGGGGCATCAAACGCAAAGTATGCAGAAGCAGAGGTTGCTTTGCAGACAGATTCAACTTCCAATGAAGCTTTTGAGCTTCCGACTTTGCACTCCGTTGTCAAATACTTGAGCAACACCTGCTGTGTGACGCGGAAAGCGGGACTCTTTCTTGGTAGCCTTCTTGTGACAAACAAGAAAGCAAACAAACAAACAAACAAACAAGCAAGCAAACAAACAAACAAACAAGTGCAAGAAGAAATCAAGCAATTACGACCTGTTTACACTTTTTACACCAAAGAATGCCAATGAATCTATTTTCACAAAATGAAGTGCAGGGTCCACGGTCTCCTGTTCAGGGTCGCTGTAGTGGTGACAGTTTGGGCTGCTACAGCAGTTGCTGCTAGTCTTTACAGGATCACATAACCGCCGTTGGAACATTGCCTCCTTCGTCTCTGGTAGATCCATCCTGCATTCAAGTATGATATTTCAATCAAATTTTCACTGCCACAACTTGCACAGAAATAGCACAATTGCACTGGAAGGCAGCTGTGCGCCTTGTATTGCAAGCATCAAAAAATTCCAAGATCATGGCCTTCAAAGGACATCTCCACAGATCA